CTGTCTCTGTCTGGCTGTCTGGCAAGCGCACGCGCCCTATAGCTAAAACTTCTCCAAAAATAATTAATTAATTAATTTTTTAAAAAATCGAGCAATGGAAGCATCTGGAGCCAGAGCCCTCAGTACAAGGAAACATCCATGCTTTCTCTTCTGAGAAAATCGTTAGTCACATGTTCTGGACATGGCTCAGTCTTCTGGCATAGAAGCATGGCCTGAAGACAGTATGTCATCTCTTCTCTGCTTTCTATAAAAACCCACACAAAATTGGGGCCAGCAGGTGGCGTGGTGGTTAAGGAGCTGGACTCCCACATGGCTGACCATGGTTCAAGTCCTGAACCTGGCAGCTTAAAAATCATGTTGGGAGCGTGTGCGTGATGCCCCAAATGCCAGGAGGAGAGTGGAAGAAAAGGGACTGCAATGTGGCCATCCCCCCTGGGGGTGGGGGTGATTTCTTGCTTTCTATCTCTCATGCTCTGTCTCTTTGGTGAGTGTGTGCGTTATGGCAAAAACCTTTAAAGAAAAAAATCTGATCATCCTTCTGTGTTCGGGGAACGGGTCTCTGTCTGCTAAACCTACTGTCCGTGCAGCCCCTTGTACGCTAACCCCCCGGTCAGTAACTCCATACGTTTCCCGGATTCAGCCAACCCTGCAAACATGCCGTCAGCGAAACTCCCTCACGGCTTCATGGGAAAGACCACGTGCCCCGTCTTCTTTCATGACTACCCCAGTAGATAATATTATTTTTTATTTAAAAGGCTAAAATGTCCCACTATTACCGTCCTTGAAGAAATGAAAGTGGCCCATAGCTTCACATACTGTTCAGTGCAGTTTCACTGAGGTATATTTGCTTTCTGAAACTAAAAAGTACCGATTAAAAGAGTCCCCTCCATGGGGCCGGCAGGTGGTGGGATGGCTAAGGGTGTCAGACTCCCACATGTGGCCAACTGTGGTTCGAGGTCAGACCTGGTGGTTGCTTCCTTTCTCACTTTCTCTCTCTCTCTCTCTCTCTCTCTCTCTCTCCCCCTCCCTCCTTCCCTCTCTCTGATCAAATTCAAATAAATAAAGTTAAATAAAATAATTTAAAAAAAAAATCAAACCACAGTGTCAAAGAAGGTGGTTCTACATGGCCAACTAAGTTTCAGCGAGGGAGCCAAGTGGGTACCGTGGGAAGGCCAGCCGCGCCTGGTGGTTAAGTGAGCTGGATCCCACATGGCCACCTGTGTGGTTCGAGTCACAGATCTGGTGGCTTGGCAAACAGGCTAGGCACATGTGCTACGTGCTCAAAATCCTGAGAGGGTCTGGGAGAGATGGAGACGGGATTACAACATGGTCATGCCCCTGGGGGGCAGAGGGGAGTGTTCTCTTTTTCTTCCTCCCTCTCTTTCTCTCGCTCTCTCCCTCTCTCTCTCCGACCACCCCAGGCAAGGGCATGCACTCTTTGACAAATTTACAAAACAAAAAGGAAGCTACCATGGGGAATGACTAGTCTCCAATTAAGGATCCTGAGAAAACTGGGTTTCCAGATGAAATTGGGAAATTAACCATACACGGAATTGGAAATTAACCACATGCAAAAAATTAACTCCAAGTAGGTAAAAGACCTAAAACGTCAGACCTGAAACCACACAGCTCCTGGGAGAGGAGATACGGTAAAAATCGCCGTGACACTGGCTTTGGGAATGATTTTTTTTTTCTTTTTCTTTTTTTAGATATCACACCAAAAACTCAGGTTTACAAAAGCAAATGGAAATAAATGAGACTAAGACAAATGAAAAGGCTTCCTTCTCGATTGCAAAGGACACGGCCAAGAAAATAAAGCCAAGGCCACACCCACCGATGTGAGATGAGTCTTTTGGGGGAAAAAAATAAAACCTGACAACTCTAGCATCAGTCCATCTACTTAATGTATCACGGTTATTTAGTCTCAATACATGCTTCTAGATAACCAGACCATCTTACGTAAATCAGACACCTCCAAATCTTTCTTAACAGTAAAGTAGAAAAAGATGATAAACACCTAAAGAAAAGAATAATGGAATGACTATGAGGTAGGCCTCTTAGACACCTCACCCCTGTCATTTCCCACAAGCTCACGATGGCCTTTTAAGGTGGGAATTGCTGTCTCCGTGTGTGGGGGAAGAAAACGCAGGTGCATGACGGTTCGAGACCTGCCATGGCCACAGTTAGTGACAGAGCTAGGATTTGAAAGGTATGGATGGCTCTGTCCTTCCCCCAGACCACGGTCCTCCTGCTGACACTTCTGAGCACTCCCCGTGGAAACCTGGGACGCCCCGAGGGCACTTTCTTCCAACCTAACAGGCTCCTCGGGAGTCTGCTGTTCCCGGCATCATTACTTCTGCGCTCTCCAGGGTCTGGCTAGCTACAGGTGCCACTGCCGCTGCTGCCACAGCTGTCTGAGAACACAGGACAGCCGGGGGCAGGTGGGAGATCCCGAGCAGGGGGAGAGAGAGGAGGGAAGCCCCACCATGCATGTGCGTGGGCAGGAAGGTGTGCGCGAGTGTGTGTTTAAAGACACAAACA